AAATGTTTTTGAAAAATATTTGAAATTAAAAAAAAAACATTTTTATGCCACTCCCTACCCTACCGCCACCCCCCACACAGGCCATTCCCCTCAAAAACAAAATTAAGAAAAAAAAAATTTGGGAAATATTTCAAATTTTAAAAAAAAATCATTTTTTAAGCCACCCTACCCCCCCCCCCCCAATCAAAAAGAAATTTTAAAAAAAAAAATTTGAAAAATATTTCAAATTTTAGGCCCCCACCCACGACCAAGTCAATTTTTATTTTTTTAAAAAAAATTGGTTTTGGAAAAAAATTCCTAGGTCAAATCTCAGGGTCGGATTTTGGAACGATCATCGGGGTCTTGTCCTAGTTTGGGTGTCGAGGTCGGATCCTAGATCAATCATCGAGGTTGATTTTCGGATCAAAAATTATTTTCCTAAAGAGTATTTTTTAGTCTCAAGCCAAAAATAAAAGATATTTTCTGAAAAATATTACCAACCAAACATTAAAAAATATTTTCTACTCATCAACCAAACATGAGAAAATAAGTTAGAAGTCCACTTGTTTTCCAAGAAAACATTTTCCTTCAAACCAAACACACCCAGAGATGTTGAGCAAAAGAGGAGGAAGATGATAGTTCTAATCAAGTTTAAGAAAATTGACTTCAGTGCCCCTCTCTATTTAGCATAGGTCGTAGGAATGGTTTGTCAAGTCTGTTAGCATTTCTTAGCAGATAGCTCTTTGACAGACTAAAGGTCTCTGACAAAATGTGAAGAGCATCTGAAAATTAGCAGTGAACTTTTTACTGCTCTTTTTATTATTGTTAGCAATGACTTTGCTGTGATTTGTTATTATTGGAAGCAATACTCATGAAGCTTCTTCTCATTATTTGTTGCTATTCCTTCTTTACTTTCAGACGATGAGGTGCTTATAATTAAAAGTGTCATCCATAGAGACTTCAATGCAATGATAAAGGTAATGTATCATTCAGATGAGTGGTAGTATCTTTTTACTTGTTTGTTTCTCCATTAAATCTTTCTTTTTGAGGTTGCTATTGTTAGTTTTAGTTGTTCTCAACTTACATCTTCAATAAGTGCTACCCGTGAATGTTCTGAGTTGGACTTTAGTTGATATTGTTTCAGGAATTTGTTGAAGAATTACAAGCTAAGGATACATTTCTACTTATAAAAATGAATGCATATCTACTTTTTCAAAATATTAATACTCCCCCCTCCCCCACAAATTGATATGAACGGAACCATGCATAACAGCTGGATCTTTCTTTTCTATGAAGTATGGGACTCTTGCTGTCTAAGTTGCTCGGACTCTTCAATTTTGGTGCCGCACTTGTGTCGACACGACATGGGTGTGGGTGTGGGATTCGTGTCCGATTCGGTCAACCAATTTTGGGTACTTCGACCAAAGTCGATAGGGAAAGTCTGGGCAGTTTTAATGATTTCTGTAATCAATACAAAAACTAAGGTGAAATTGAAGAAAATGGAATACCTTTTATATAGAAATTCTTATGTCATTCCTTTTCCTTTAATCTCCTTCCAAGATTCTCCTCAAGTTCTCCACATAATATCTCATAATTTAAGTTTTATAACTCTATTTTTAGATATTTTAATTATTTTTAGGCAAATCTGCACCCGTATCCATATCCCTAATCTTAAAAATTAGATCATGAAGGATCCGACCTCTAGATCCGCACTTGTATTGGACACCCGCAGCAACTTAGCTTTCTCTATCCCTTTGTATGTACTAATTAAAATGGAATGAATTTTTATGTTGAGTTTTATGGCGATCACCTTACTTCGCATCTTTTGACCATGGCTGTGTATCCTTAATACACACAACATGTTTGAGGAAACTCTGATGGAATTAAGTTGTAGCATTGTAGGTGGTGAAATAGAGAATTCTTTAGGATTCTGAATATTAGTGTTGGTGAGAATCATCCTAAACCTTAAGGGTATAGCATGGACGTTGTCAGGCAAGATAACAGAGGCTCTTAGCAGCAGGGAGGGAACATGTTCACATGCAAAAGATAGGAGTAGATGGAGAATTGTATCTGGTGGACAATCTGGAAGGACAAGAATTCCTGATGTTTTGAGATCTTAGAGAATGATATGCAGAAGATCAAGTTGAACTTCATCTTACTGCTATGTTTTTGGTGTAATCAAATTTCATAATGATAATGTGTCTATCATAGATGTTCTGGATCCATTATAGCTAGAGAGGGAAGACACTAGAGCTCTATTGTAATATGGTTTCAGTACTACCCAAGTACTGTTTTGATCCCTGATATGATACAAAGTTACTGATTTCAAAAAAAGAAAATGATGAAACAATTTTGGTTACCAACAACAAACCCAGTGTAGTCCCATAGGCGTGTTATAGGGAGGGAAGAGTTTATCCAGACCAACCGTCCCATCACCTTGTTGTAAGGTGAACATTTAGGATTCCCAAAGTTTGGATTCAGTAATTCGGTTATTGAAAGTAGATACCAAATACCAAACTTCTTAGTTCAGTCTGGTCTGGTAAATCAAACTTTGGTTCAGTGAGTTTTGGTACAATAATTCGGTAATACTGACATGACCTTCATGTCAGTTCATCCAAATATCATCTTCCAATCTTAGCAATGGAGCCAACAAAATTAATAAACAAACAACTTTCAACTCAACAAATGATCACTAAAATATGATGAAGCTCAATGGAATCAATAATCAAGAGAATTTGTGAACATTCAACCATCTATGACACTTAACAATACCAAACCCAATCAATCGAAAGTCAATATCAGATTAAGCACAAACAATTCCAAATATATGGTATATATCGATACTAATGTTTCATACCGTACCGAACTCTAATATCATAATTCTTAAATTTCTCTTGAAAATCCTACCGAATTATCGAAATTCTCAATTCAGTTGAGTAATTCGGTGATTTATGCACAACCCTTCTTCGGTTAAGAAAATCTAGTGCCTCAAATATGCAAATCACTCTTAAAACACACTATGAACATGTTGGAACACTCAAAACACCAATCTGAGTTCGTCTCACATATTTGACCATGGCCAACTCTTAATTCTTGCTTGATTTGGTGTATATTTTAGCATATCTCTGATTAGTTTACATTTGCTTTAATGAATCTAGTGAACGATGATAGACTAGAGTCATGTCCTCAGGCAAGGGAGAAAGGCAGGGGTGGTAATTGGGTTAAGAGAGTTTCTAGGCTGAGAGTAGGGTCTTGGAACATAGGGACATTGATGAGGATGTCAATAGAATTAGTGAAGATTCTCAAGAAGAGGAAGATTAATATAACTTGTGTCCAGATTACCAAATGGGTAGGAACTAAGGCTCGAGATATGAATGGGTTTAAATTGTTGTACTTAGGAATCTCGAAGATCAGGAATAGAGTAGACAATCTAGTAGACACAAATCTAAGTGAGCAAGTGGTAGACATTAGGATGATGTCGATTAAACTAGTTGTTGGAGGGCTTACTTTGAACATTATTAGTGCATACACACTAAAAGCAAACTTGGATGAGGAGGTTAAGAAGAGTTTTTGGGAGGATTTAGATGAGGTTGTGAGAGGTATCCACACACTGAGAAGCTATTCATAGGAGGAGATTTTAGTAGCCACATCGAGACAACTCCAAAGGGCTATGATGATGTGCATGAAGGTTCTGCTTTTGGGGATAGAAACGAAGAAGAAGCCTCACTTTTGAATTTTGCAAAAGCTTTTTAATTGGAGGTAGCTGACTCGAGTTTCCCTGAAGGACGAACACTTGGTGACATTCTGGAGCACGTTGGCTAAGACTCAAATAGACTGCATACTCCTTAGGAAGGGTGATAGATGTCTTTGTAAGGAATGTCATCCCGAGTGAGAATCATACAATCCAACATAAGCTCTTGGCTATGGATTTGAACCCACCACCCCCCAACCAAAAAAGTTGATTCTGAACTTCGTTTGTGAAGGAACTGAACTTTGACGGCCAACACTTTTTTATGTGCCGCTTTACCCTAAAAGGAAAATGAGCTTTGCTCCTTTGGGTGCTAGGCACTCCTGTGGTTCGCGAGAAGGAGAAAGGATGTTGCATTTGGCGTGCGATGATAAAGAGAGTCTTCGTCTATGCATGAATTGCAACAAAAAATAAATGATAAAATAAAGCTGAAACAGAGGTATAGTGGGGGAGAGGTGAGGTCACAAGGGTGGATGATGTGTACGGGATGTCGGTGAAATGAAAATTGTCGAACATGATTGCAGGATGAATGATTAAGTAGTTTTCTTCAGAAAACAGAGTAGCTTTGCACTATAATGGGTAGATGATGTTAATTGAAGAATGTCTTGTGCTGATGCAGTGCTACATTGCTAATTGATTCAAAGTGTTGGCTAAAGCCTAAGGGATTTGTTTATTTATCTTCAAACGTGTTGTGGCAATGCCTTGTTTTGCCCTCTTTGGGCCATAAGCCACTTGTAATATTTCATGACATGTTGGAAATGAATTTTAAATGTATGTTTGATTGTAAAAGAAGCCCTACTATTATTTCATGACGTGGTAGAATATGATTTTTTTGTAAGATGGTGGGAATCTGATGCTTTGTGACATCAAATTCATTTGAAGAGAATATGACTTTCCTCCATTATTTATCGCAGAAAATCCGGAATCCAGTCTATCTGTTCCAAGGAATCGTATTACGCAGAGGTGCGAAAGGAACTGGGATGAAATCAATTGAATTAGCACTTTCCATGTGCGACATTGTTGACATTTATGGTTTCACTGTTGATCCTGGTTACACAGAATGGTAATGTTCTATTATGCTCGTCTTCTCCATTGTTACTTCAGCTTTTACTAGACGACAATATAAATGCACATTTGAAAAACTTGGTATCAGGTTTTCTATTTGCAGCTCTATCCAATGTTGAAATATTACCATCTTTCTGGAATATTTGACACTTCCACTTGAATGCCATCTTCTACTTTACCTTTTCTTAACTTTTGCATGCAATTTCTTACATCTAACAACCAGTAAACATTATCTCTGTGTGGTTATTGGGTTACTTTGTTGTATAGGACTCGATACTTTTCTACACCAAGGAAAGGGCACAACCCACTCCAAGGAAGGGCTTATTATCAACTCTTAGAATGCCTTGGAGTAAGGACACTGGATTAATGCAGTTAAAGGTCATTTTTCAATTTGTTCATTTTTTTGTTTGATGCTCTCGCTAAGAAATCATATTTTAGGTCATACGAATCCATTCTCCTATGCGAGCAAAGAGAAAGCAAGACTGGTCTGATGTGCCTAGTCAAGAAATGATAAGCAACGCTCACAGAGCTGCATTGCATTTGAAAAAGAAGCAAGCTGGGGAAGAGGGAGGATTGGGACAATTTGTGAACTGTAAAGTATGGGGCAAATCAGGTCCCTATGGCACTGGGCCTGTATCTGGTTCCACAGATATGACAGATACCAGGAAGGATTCAAATTACAATCGATGGGAAATCATGCCTTTTGAGAGCTTGAGGAAGGAAGCACGGAAGCACTATATGCAGATGGAAGGTGTGTCTTTGTACAAGATGGATGGGAATAAGCTGGATGATCTAGTCTGCGTGAAACACCCCCTGAAATCGGAGGCATGAAACAATGGCTTGATATATGGATCCATTTGAGTTGAACCTAATTAATATTTTACATGCACAAATACAAGGGAACCAAGTGATTTGTGTTAAACACATCAAGCAGCTTCCTCTTGGAGTGTAAGCTAGTGACAGCCACCACAGTGAACTCAGATCTTCTTTGGAAGTGCACTGCAAAATTGTCTGAAAGTTGCATATACTTGATGATCAGAATTACTGGAGGAATGAGGAAAGAAGGGACCAATATTCTTGAGATGTCCTTGACTTTTCTTAAATTCAGTAATTTTGCAAGTGAAGAAATCTCATGCTCCATATTTGCCTGATTTTGTTATAGAACTTTTCACAGCTAGTATACCTCTGTTGCTTTTATTCTTCTCAGTGTGAATTTGTGATTTTAAACTGTCATATCCAGTATAATCAAAAGGGATGGGCAAATAGTGCAAGGGCAAACACCGCAAAGACTGTCCTGCATAGCACAATTTATTGTTTTTACCCCGCTCTTCTTTTGCTTGTAACTATACATTTTATGTAGTGAGAAAACCATTTTTATTTTTCATTGATGAAAAAAGTGATTTATGTCAATTTTAATAGAATAACAATTTCATGAATGGGTACTGCAAAGTATAACAAGAACATTTTTTTTGTAATCAGAATTCAAAACTACAGTTAGGAACAAATACTATAACCCGCTCCGCCTGCCATCCCTAAATGCAATGCAAGGAAGACGGAGCATGTTCCCTTTTCTAATACTAACTAATAATAAAATAAAATGCATAGTATGCAGCATAATGGATGGAACAAGCAAAATTCCAGAAACATAATAAGCAAGTATGAAAAAGAATACATCTATGAGGTAGACTTGTTGTTGTTTCCACGGTTAAGAAGATCGTCAGAAACAACCTTGAGAAGCTTCCTCTGCTTAGATTTGGCAATCTTTTTGAGGGTTTTTGGATTGGTGATCTTCTGAACCTTGGTGCCAGACTTGAGAATGTTTTCCTGCTTCTTTTTCTCTCTTTCCTCCCTCTGCTTCCGCTTCTCCACCTTGTTCTGTCTTATCTCTTCCTTGAGCTCATTGATTCTCTCCTTATACGCCTTCTTTATCTCCTTCTCTTTCATCCTCTGCTCCAATGACTTCCCCTTCACGCTCACCTTCGCTGCCGATGATCTGTGTTTACGCGGCTGTTTCCAATTCCTTCCCGATACCCTCCCTGCAATCACCCCGTCGTATGTCGGCCTTCCCAGTACAGGTTTGTTTGGATCCTCCTCGGATGGAACCGCCTGTCTCTTCCTTGGAATCTCCTCCACTTCCATGGCCGCCGCTTCTCCATCTTCTATACCATTACCTTGCTCTTTCTCTGCTCTCTTTCGTTTGTACGTTTTTCCTCCGAATCCTTCGTCCAGGCACCGAAAATCCACAGTACACGCCATTGTTACTTTCCCACTGCTTCCTCTCGGTCTTATTTATATCACGCAACGCAAACCCTAATACTTTTCCTCTTCTTTTTTTTCCAGCATTTCACCTTTTTGGGCCGGGCCAAATCTAACCGACTCTTTGTTTCGGGTATTTAAAATATAGCCACGCATTTAGCTAATCTTTAATGCAAAATAAAATTGGATGGACTAGAATGGGAAGCCATTGACAAAATAGCCACTTTCTGAACCGCTAAATTAAGTAATCAGCATTTCAAAACTTTTCAAAATCGCAATATAGGTGAAGTCTTTTTTGTTTTCTACAAGTATTTGGATATATCTTTGCATGATTTGTTATGTTTTACTACAACTATTAGGAGCCTCGATCTAAGGTTATTGCACAATCTAGTCAAGACTAGAACCAAGAAAAAATGAATGATGGTGGATCAAGATATATTATATTTAATTTTATGTTATAATTATATTGATTACTTTGTTCAATTTTCATATTATATGAACATAAACTTTATATTTATAAGAACTAATTGTATTAGTTCAAGCTTTTATGTATAAACTAAACTTTATACATTACAATATTTAGTACTATATAAGTAAAGCACGCTTAGACTAATACATGATATATTTAAACTTTAAATCTTTATTAAAATTAAATAAATAATTACTCTATAGTAAATAATATATGTAAATATATGGTTAATAGTGTACAACTCATTGTTAATAGTATATTATTTCAATGATTTTTTACCTTGACTTTTGATCGTGATAATTGAGAGGAAGGGATTTTTGTCATGTTAGACTGCCTAGGTGAACTGTCATGTCAGTACATATGATAAAGATAACGTTTTAAGAGTATTTGTAGTTCAAAATATAGACGGCAAGGATAGTTTTGATCCCAAACATGGTTAAAAAGTATATATGAGCTATTTTGAATAGTTCAAGGATAATTTTAACCCTTTTCGATATTAAAAATAAGAGTAAAGTTTGTGGACATTATAGCTTTTAATAGAAATAGAAAAGGACGAGAGTAGAAAAGGAGTGTGAAGGTAAATGTCCATAATAAGAGGGATGTGATGTGGAGAGAAGTGGCTAGTAGTAATTCCCTAGTATAATAATGATAAGGGAGCCGATGGTTGCGCATTTACCCATGGGATGAGAGTGGGACTCTATTCTATTCTTCTTTGTAAAAAAAAAGGTCCTCAGATCTCTCTCTCTCTCTCTCTCTTCCTGTTCCTGAACAACATTACTTCCTACTTCCCCAAAGCTTGAAGCTTTTTATTTAAACCCCCAATCCGCATACATATTAACCGTAGATCCGAACGATCCAGATTGTACAATGGGCGCTTCTCAGTCCGTAGAACTACCCTCTGATGAAGAAGACGAACAGGATGAAGAAGAAGATGCGGAGCACGAAAACGATACCCCAGATGAGAGACACCGATTAGTTGGTGACGACTCTCTGCTCAAAAAGGTTCTCGAACAAGAGCCTGAGATGTTACCTTGCCACGCCTCCGCATCCCCTTTATCCCCTCAACTATCCTCTTTCGGCACCCCGCGTTTGGGACCTTCTATCAAGGTCTGGGACCCTTATAATGTTCTCGCTCCACCACCCTCAATTCCTCATTTCCACCGAACATTCTCCTCTGATTCTGTCGATGACGATAGGACCCTCACTGACCTATATTTAATTAGTAATGGCGAATGTCATATGAATTTAAGACCTGATTTGATTGCCGGCCGATCCCCAGAGGCTGCACTTACACCTAATGGCAAGCGCCAAGCAAGAGCTTTGGCTGTTTTTCTAAAGTCTCAAGGGATTCGTTTCAATTCTGTCTATACATCTCCCTTGGATCGAGCACGAGCTACTGCCCTCTCTGTTTGTCAGGTATACTATTAAGCTCAAAATCAAATCCATTTGCTTCCCACATCTATCTTTGTCGATGGGTGTCCCTCGGATCCTTCAGGGATACAATGACATTTATGGAGGACTCCGAGTATCAGCTTTGCAGGGGGAGAATTCTTCATTTTTAGGCAGCTGCATGTTTCCTCTGGTACTAGTGAGGTTTCCGTTTTATACTTCTCTGGTGATTGTGTATAGTGACTTCTGCATTTTTGCCCTGAAAGAAACCATTGGATTTCTTAGCTGCTATAGGTTCAGGATTTATATGGCTGTCAGAGTAGTTTTGGTTTTGCAAGTTTGTAGTCTTTGGTTGTCTAGCACCCTATGACAGACATTGCAATTGGAATTTATGTTATACTCCTAGTTAGTTCAAATAAAGTTGGGTCCAAAACAAAATCTTAAAGGTGACTTTTGTTTTCAGATGTTCTAGGATTAACAATTAGACCAACTTTTGAAGTACTTTTGGGATAAAAGTTGGTCCAATTCCTGTAGTATAAATAATAAGTTTCATAGTCGAGGAAATCAGATATCATTTAGATCAGGAAAGGGAAACTAATCGAATCCTTCTGGGATAGGTAAGAGTATACCATATGATCATGCTCTATTACATTTCCACACGGTGCTTGCAAAATATCAGTCTTAATAATGTATCAATGAAAGAGACAGCAATATTAGTACTTTCTTTGTCTATAATGTAATGTTTTCAGCAAGATTAGTACTGCTAAGAAAAGTTGTATATTCTGCATTTTAGCAAGGCATAATTGGCTTCCCAGGATATTTGATGTGTCAATAACATTCTTGCTGTCTTGACCACTAGCAAATTCAAACACTCTGTTACTGCCTTTCAGAGCAGCCAAGTCACAGTTTAACATCACATCCCCGAATTATACAAGGAACAACTTCGAGCAATAAGAGCTTGCTTCCTCTCGTCTCTAGTTATGTCTTAAAGACTTTCCCATTCTTAGTGATGCATTCTATGATATTCTGTACGGGGATTTTGACTGTAAGTAGAACAACTGGATTGACAACGTTGAAGAGATTTAGAGTAACATGTTATTTGCATGTTGTGTTAAGGACTTACGAATTTGCTAATGAATGGATCTCTGTTGACTGTGCAGGAAATAAACTTTTCAGAGGAACGGATACAATCCTCTGATGCTCTACTGGAAATGAGTCAGGGGCATTGGGAGGGATGCCACCGCTCGGATATTTTTACACCTGAAACAACTAGCCTAATGGAAAAGTTCCAGCCTGATTTTTCAGCACCATCTGGAGAGTCACTGAGGCAGGTGGAATTTCGGATGGTACAATTCCTAAATGGAACTGTTATGGCATTGCCTGACAAATTCAGATCTGATTTCTCTCCACCTGATCAGAGTGAGAACCAGGGCTTCTCAAACCGTGGTTCTCATCCACTTGTCAATTCAGTTCATGACCGAGATGGGCCGCCCTCTTTCTCGTCATCCCATTGGGATTTGCACCACAGGAATCGACAAGGACTTTCGAGGAAGAAGTCTGGAAAGAGTAGGCTTCAGATCGTGACAACTACTGGGGATCATGAGGCTGATGACGAGATGTCACCACGAGAACCCATTAATCCTAACTCCATCCGAGATTTAAATGTGCAAATCAGTACTAATGTTTCTCAATGCATTGGTATTTTCACGCATTCAATCCCAATAAAGTGTCTTCTTACTGGCCTTCTTGGCTGCAGTTCAATGATGTCAAGTAAGATATGCATAGATGATTCTTCAGTGACAGTGCTACAACATTCCTGGAAAATGGGATGGCAGATCAAGAGAATGAATGATACTGCACATCTTAGGCTTTTCTAGTAAATTATTCCATTCAATAGCTGAGATCACTGAGAAATTTTCAAGAATTGTGTATTCTACAATTAGATTCAGATCTCGGGGGTTATACATTCTCAATTTCTTTTCCTACTTGTACAATTGCATGCTGATACTGAATTGGAGAACCACGGCTGTGGATTATTATTTCAGTTTGTAGAATTTTAAATTTTTGATATTGTAGGGCACTTGTGTTGTGGATTTATTATTACGCGCTTTCTTTTCCTATTTACTTACTAGTAATGGCTTTTTAAAGGTTGGGAGAGATATCACTAAAATCTGGGCGTGCCCGTGAATGAATGAAGAAGACTAATTTGGGTTCACTCTCCTACTTCTCTACAAATCCCAACGTCGCCACCTTCTTCAATAGATACTTAGACAAATCTGATGTGTTCTCGTGGAACTCTATCATTGCCGACTTGGCTCGGAGCGGTGACGCCGTCGAAGCCCTTCGAGCTTTCTCTTCCATGCGAAAGCTCTCTCTCAAACCTAACCGTTCTACCTTCCCCTGCGCCGTCAAATCCTGTTCCTCCCTTTCCGATCTTACTTCCGGTAAGCAGACCCACCAACAAGCTCTCATCTTTGGTTATGACACCGACCTTTTTGTATCCTCCGCCCTCATTGATATGTACTCCAAATGTGGCCAACTTGCTGATGCAAGAAAGCTGTTTGATCAAATTCCTCAAAAGAATGTTGTTTCATGGACCTCCATGATAACTGGCTACGTCCAAAATGACCTCCCTCATGAAGCAATCTTGCTTTTCAAAGAGCTATTGGCAGCTCAGGCAGGAGAAGTAGTTTTTCTTGACTCAGTTGCCATGGTTTCCGTGCTCTCCGCTTGTTCTCGTCTTTCACGGAAGACCCTTACCCAAGGGCTCCATGGCTTTGTCACCAAAAGGGGATTCAATGAAGACGTGGGAGTTGGTAATACATTCATTGATGCCTACGCTAAATGTGGTGAGGTTGATTTGTCTCGGAAGATGTTCGACATTATGCCTGACAAGGACATCATTTCATGGAATTCTATGATTGCAGTTTATGCCCAGCACGGACTTTCAGCTCAGGCAATGGAAATTTTTCGTTCCCTGGCATGGGATAGAGAGGTTGACTACAATGCTGTCACCTTGTCAGCTTTGCTGTTGGCTTGTGCTCATTCAGGAGCTCTTCAGGCTGGCAAGTGCATACATGATCAGGTACTTCAAGGACTAATCACTTTCACAAATGCTGCATTCTTTCTGACTCCCTATTTTCAACTGTATTGATGTTTCCAGTTGTATAATTGACTTTGGTCTCTTTAGGTTATAAAGATGAACCTAGAGGATAACGTATATGTGAGTACATCCATGATTGACATGTACTGCAAATGTGGGAGATTAAGGATGGCAAGGAATGCCTTCAATAGAATGAAGGAAAAGAATGTGAAATCATGGTCTGCCTTGATTGCAGGTTATGGAATGCACGGGAGAGCTAAGGAAGCCCTTCAAGTATTTTACGAGATGAACTCAGCTGGGGTAAAACCAAACTACATTACTTTTGTCTCTGTCCTAGCAGCTTGTAGCCACGCTGGGTTGCTGGATGAAGGATGGTATTGGTTTAAGGTTATGGAACCTAGATTTTGCATACAACCAGGAGTGGAGCATTATGCTTGTATGGTTGATCTTCTTGGACGTGCTGGTTTCCTTACCAAGGCATATAATTTGCTAAAAGAAATGAAGGTGACGCCTGACTTTGTCATTTGGGGTTCTCTTCTAGCTGCATGCAGGATGCACAAGAATGTCGAGCTTGGGGAGATTTCTGCTAGTAACTTGTTTGAGTTAGACCCAACAAACTCTGGGTATTATGTTTTACTCTCAAACATATATGCCGATGCTGGAAGGTGGGAAGATGTAGAGAAGATGAGGATACTTATGAAAAATCGTGGATTAAGTAAACCTCCTGGGTTCAGCCTGCTTGAACTCAAAGGCAGGGTTCATGTATTTCTGGTTGGTGATAGAGAACACCTGCAACATGAGAAGGTTTATGCTTATTTGGAAGAGTTATCTGTAAAGCTGCAGATGGCTGGGTATGTACCCAACATGACATCTGATCTTCATGATGTTGATGATGAAGAGAAAGGACTGACATTGCGAGTTCATAGTGAGAAGCTTGCTGTTGCTTTTGGGGTCATGAATTCTGTCCCTGGTAGTACCATTCAAGTGATTAAGAATCTAAGGATATGCGGAGACTGTCATACAACAATTAAGCTAATCTCCAAGATTGTTAATAGGGAAATTGTAGTCAGAGATGCAAAGAGATTTCACCATTTCAAGGATGGCTCATGCTCATGTGGGGACTATTGGTGATTGAGCGAAAATTGTGGTCTTCACCTACTAATCGACTTACATGAGTTGTCATATGATGAGCATGGTGGTGCATAATTTGATAGAGATTTGCATGGAATATGATTTTCTTCAATCTCAAACTAGTCTATGTTTATGCTGGTCTTATAAAGGATATTGGTACCAAACAATATTCCCCGGTTGTGGTGATGTGTCAAGCAAGAGCAAAAGAGAGAAAGCGGATCAGTAAGTAGAATTTGGAATTTTTCTTCTCTTCTGTGATTAAAAATGGCCTGCCCTTTTATCCACTGCAGTCTGCAGTGAATCTTGTTTGTTTGGTTGAGACGAGTATTGTGTCATTTGGGCATTGCAGGGTTGAATGGTAGCAATACCTGACATGAGCATCAATTTGGTGATCGTTTTGAGTATTTTAGCTCGTTGTTTACCGGCTTGTTATCTATCTATTTTGTAGTGTATTGTTAGTTTAAATATAATTTGTTTTGATTGTTACTTAATTTGATTGTATCATAGGTGAAATCATGTTAGTTAAGAACAAATTGTTGATTGATTTGGTGTGATCACATTACTGCCTTATTTTCTTTTACTAGTTTTTGAGAACGCCTTGTACATTTGTCCCTCATAATTACTACAAGATTTCTATATATTTTTTAAAAATTGAACTTCAGAATAGAAAATATACATGTATTGCACGCTACTTAGTATAAATATTTGTTAATGATTTAAATACATTTACAATATGTATAAATAGTTATTCAAAAAATTAATTAATCAAAAGAGAAGAATGTAACACCAAATTAAAGCTTAACATCAAATGGACAATCTGACAATCATATCAAATAGTTTTAAGAAATTGTAAATTTCACATGAGTTATTAGTTGTGAAGATCTCACCTAATGTTTGAAGAGAATATATAAAAACTTATCAATATCCATTACATTATTATAGCATCACAATAAATTATACAACTTCTGATGTACATTATATTCATCCTACAAATATTCGAAAATAAGATGAAATAGAGTAGACTAAAAACAATAAAATAGCTAATGAATGGAGGAACTTCCCAATAACTAACAAAAGCATAAATAGATTTACCGCTTTTTAATTGCATATGTGATGAGCAATTACATTCATCAGCAATCATCCCTCAACAATTATACATTAGAATAACTAAATGTATGCATTAACATAAAGTGACTGTGATGAGCAATGTAATTACATACACCAATAATCATCCATCAACAATTATACATTGGAATAACTAAGTGTATACATTAATATATAATTTTGAAAATAATTTTTTGGTATGTATAACAGTCAAGAATTATAAAAGTCATTTAAAAATTGATGATATATGTACATAACATCTATGAGAATTAGATTGGTTAAAGTTGGGATATGTAAAGTTTCTGACTAAAATCTAAATATGTGTACCATATTAAGATGTATGGTAATTCAAAGGACATTTTTGTCCTTTATTGTTAAAGAATATTTCAGTTTTTAAAGGATATAATTTACTGCCTTTTATTGTTACGAAACACTTTCATCTACCAAACTCCATTTTAGAATGAAAACAAATTAAATATTTTGTGAATTAATTCTATCTAGAAATATATTGGATTAATACCATAAAATTATTATTTAATATTTTATTAATTAGTTTTTTAATAATATTTAAATTTAGTAAAGGGGTAAAATCGTAATCCAACTTTGAAGTTAAGATCTTCCAACTTAAAATAATATAATATATATGATTTTTCATTTTGTCTTGCCTATTAATTAATAATCTTACTTACCTTTTTTTTTAAAATTATTATTGTAGCTTTATCTTGTATCTTATTTTTCTTTAAGATTTATTCTTCAATTTTTTGAGATATGACTTTATATAATGATAAAAAATAATATAATTTATCCAAACATTATATTTATTAAAATAATAATAATAATAACCATCCAAATAGAGAAGGTACATGTTGATTTTAAGCAAGTAACGTGAAATGCCAATCATTTTTCTCAATTTGGTACGAAATATTCTTATTGAATAGAACATTTATTATTCTAACGTATGCCTATATTCAAAAAAAAAAAAACTTGTGCGTAAACGTTTTCTACAAAATTGTTGGGTGAGTGTTCCAATTGCTTGAATCGATATTCGATACAACACCCCTAAAGAATATACTGGTAAGGTCCTCCGTTTAAGGCCAACTTGCGTTTACCGTTATGCCCATACTTGTCTGCTTCTCTATGCTGTTCTCCTTTACCTTATTTTTATTTCAATTACTTAAATCATAGCAATATGAAATGTATGAATTATATATCGATTCATAAAAAATAAAAAACTTCTTAAATTATTCACCATATAGAGTACTAGTTTAATTGTTTGCAATGTCAGTGTCACTTCCCTATGAAATCTGAGTCAACCTCATTTACATCGAAAGACTATCTTTGGAGTATTATCTTTGTTCAAATACGACTCTATAGGATAAAGCAAGAACTTCTCATAAAATATGAAGTATTATTTTACAGTATATACAATTTATGAAAATTTAAATTTTAACACTTTTTAAAATTTGTTATAGTGGCTATATAGTTAAGTAAGTAAAGAATGAAAAATCGTTTATCATTAGATTAACTAGTATTAGAGCCGTCAAAGTGGGCCTAGCCCATGGGGCCGGCCCAACCCAACTCGTTTTTGGGGTAGGGTTGAGATATGATTTTTCAAGCCCATTTAAAAGTAGGGCTTATAAGCTCGACCCATATAAGCCCTTGGCCCTTGAGGCTTGATCGGGGCCGGGCCGGGGTTGGCGCATGGGCCAAAACTTTTTATTTAAGGATAACTTACAATAACTCACTAGTATATAATCTAATTACTTAAATACCCACAATGTTGTAATATTATGAATCTTACCAGATTTTGGTACGTCCGGGTACATGTATCTCGAAATATATGGACTCAAAATTAGGTTAATCTATTCTAGATACACTCTATCCAAGAAGATTTACATGTATCTAAGATGCATAGACAAATCTCGCGCCCTCGCCTCCCTCCAATCTTTGTTGTCACTCTCTTATTTCACTCACGTATCTGGTATGCGAGATACATGCTAATTACAGTAGACTTTTTGCTAGTGTTATTAAAACAACACCATTGTTTTGTAAATTTGATTTGAAAATCTTCTCATTTTCTAGATGTTATAGAATGGATTAATTACTTGAATAAGTCCTTTTTAATTAATAATTACTATTTTTAAACATATTTTTTAATTATTACCATTTATAGCAATATATAATAATATTATGTATACTTATTTTATTAGATCTATTATTTTCTGTTGCGCTCTTTCTCCGTTTTTTTTTCTATCTCTCGCTATTTTTTTCTTTTCCTCCCTGGCCCTGCAGCCTCTCTGCACCCCCTCTCTCTCTATGCTTTTCTTTCTTTCTTTTTCTCCCTGTACCTCCTCTATCTATGATTTTTCAATATTAATAAAAAAAGTTAGGCTTTTATCAAAGGCAAAAGATCTATAGAAAAGTTAGGGAAATTTTCAGAATTCGAAGAATTGGGGCTGCTTAGTTTATAGAAGAAGTCGATTAGTTTTTTATTTGTTGCTTTGGCGTTGTCGACTATTTTCATTCTAATGAAGGTTATATAAATAATCGTATTCATACCTGATGAAGATTTGAAGATATGAATATTTGAATATATGAAGATATGAAAGTTTGAATAAATGAAGATATGATGTCATATTTGTGCCCCATACTTCCTCATATCTAAAGGTGAATTCGCATGAGAAAATTAGATTTAAAGATATGATGTCATCTTTGTAACAAATAAAGAAACATAATAAACTGCAAAATGAATTAAACTTGAATTAAATATGTATTACACATATTAAAGTTGAATTAAAAGAGAATTAAACATGAATACAAAATGTAGCAAACGAAAGAACATTTTATGATCAGTAGACTAAATAAAATTTGTATCAATAATGAATTAAACATGTAATCCAATCGTAACAAATCAACCAATAAACTGCAAAATGAATTAAACTTGTATTAAAAGTGTATTACACAAATATTAAAGTTGAATTAGAAGAGAGAATTAAACATGAATAAAAGACGTAACTAATGAAGACCAGACATTGATCTATAAAGTGAATTAAACTTGTATCAATAATGAATTAAATTAGTAATTCAATAGTAACAAATCAATCAATAAACTGCAAAATGAATTAAATTTGCATTAAAAGTGTATTACAAAGTATTAAAGTTGAATTAGAAGAGAAAATTAAGAAT